CCTTAGAAAATTAAGTGGAGCAGCTACCATATATTTGTTCCTAGTTCTTCCTGTGGTAGAAGGATAAAGAGAAGTGTTTTCACATGGAAATTACTATTTTTTCACACTCATCATGTCTAACTACAAATATGGCCATTGTGAGAATGGTACCCAATATTTTATAAAAAGTATAAAACAAAGTAGAAGATTTAGATGCAATAACTACATTTCTTTTCATATTTATTTATTTTGGGTGGGGGAGGCAGAGAGAGACAGAGACAGAGAATCCCCAGCAGGCTCTACAGCTGCCAGCACAGAGTCTGATGGGGGGCTCAAAACCTGATCTCTTGTGAGTGAGATCATGACCTGAGCTAAAAGCAAGAGATAGATGCTTAACCAATGGAGCCACCCAGGCACCCCAAGATACAATAGCTACTTTTCTAAGTTATGGTTCTTATTACTAACCTTCTCTTTCTCTTGATGAATAAAAGAGATATTGAGATTTAAATATGAGAATATGGTTTTCTATTTCGATCTCATGCTAGTAAGTTATTCCTTTTTAAATGATGAAATTCATTATTTTTTTTGACATGTGAACAGCTTTTTTATTTTAATTTTTTTGAGTACAGTTAACTTGTGTTACATTAGTTTCAGGTGTAAAACATAGTTATTCAGCATCTCTATAGGTTATGCTTGCAATGATAAAATTAATTAATTCTTAAAGAAGTTAATATCAGGCAAGTGAAAATATGTTTTGACTATTTTTAGTACAAAAAAGAATGTTTAGAGGTATAATTTTAGAGATCTTTAAAGAGTAAATTAGTGGTTCATGCTTAATTCTAAGAGGTAGCTTAAACTCTTCAAATGTTAATTTATTCAACATATATTTATTGATTTATCTACTGTGGGATGGACATAATTACAGCTATAGTTTATATAGTGGTAAAGAAAGAAGACAAGGTTCTACTTTTATGGAACTTATATTCTAATGGTGGTGATGGAGGATAGAGAGGTAATAAATATGTAAATAAGGGAATACTAACAAGTGTGATAAATAAATGTCACTATAACAGTTAAGTAGGTGATATAATATGACAATAAATGGCTTATCTTTAATTGTATGTATACATAAGGTTTGGATTAGGAAGGGACTCTTAAAATGGGATCTAAATGACCAGATGCAGTTCACCTTGTACACATTTTGAGAAGGGCTTTTCTAGGACATAACTGCCCTAAAGCAGACACGTGCTTCACATCATGAGGATACGAAAAAAATACAAATGTATAGTAAAGAGGAAAATGACGATAAGGGTGAAATGGTGGGAGAGTCAAGAAGTCAACAGAGTAATAGATCTAGAGTTTGTTTTCACTGAAATGGCCATTCACTACAGCAGAAATGACATAAATTTTTAGGTGTGTGTGTGTGTGTGTGTGTGTGTGTGTGTGTGTGTATGTGTGTGTTTAAATTTCCTTGGATACTCAGTGGATAGGTGCAGGTAGAAGGCCCAGAGAAAAGGTAGGAAAAACTGATGTGGATGACATTGCAGTGTTTAAGGTAAGAAAACATCATGTCTTGGGCTATTATTGTCATCTTGTAGACAGTAAGAAGGCAAGTATCTGAAAGTGAGATTAGATCAGCTTTCTCACTGGTTTGAATGTGTGTGAGAAATGATATCTCCTGAAGAATGACTTGTGAGGGAGTAAGCTCTTACAAAAATGACATGGCAGTTACCATTTATTTGATAAAGAAGATTGGGTGAGGAACAGTATATGGGCTGGAAATTTGAAATACAAGTTAGAAGTTTAGAGGTAAGATCATGTTGAAAGTAGAGTTCTGGTTGTCATTAGAACAGGGATTTGTTTAGAGCCACATTACTAGAGGACGTTATGTGGAAAAGAGGCCCAGCACCCAGTAGTGGGACATTATAATATTCATAAGTTCCTTTTTCATGCATTCGTCTTCAAATTCAATCTTACATTAACTGAATTCTTGGATCCAGGCATTCCAACTGTATAGTTCTGGTAGGTAGAAAGTCTAAAGGTCAATAACATCATGTTGTAACATTTTCACATTCACAAAACCTAACTATATGCCTATATACGCACCTAGATTCTCACTTAAAATATGAAATGGCTGCTCTCTACATATTCCAGTTTTGAATAGCTGAACTTCCTTAGTGGCAACTCAAGGCTATATAATAAAAATTTCCAGCAGTATGTGGAGCCTGAGTGGCTCAGTAGGTTAAGTGTCCAATTTCAGCTCAGGTCGTGATCTCACAGTTTATGGGTTCAAGCTCTATGTTGGGCTCTGCCTTGATGGCTCAGAGCCTGGAGCCTGCTTCAGATATTGTGTCTCCCTCTTGCCTTATGCCCCTCCCCAACTTGTGCGTGTGCTTTTTTTCTCTTTCTCTCTCAGAAATGAATAAACTTTTAAAAAAATTTCCAGCAATAAAAGTGGAAATCTATTATAACATATCCTCAAAAACCATTGGTATGAACTGAAATTGCATACCTCTGTTGAAGCTCTAACACCTGATGTGCCTGCCTTTGGAAATAGGGCATTTAAAGAAGCAATAATGGTTAAATGAGGTCTTTAGGGTGGGGCCCTAGTCCAGTATGATGGGGGTTTTCATAAGAAGAGGAAAAAACACAGCAGAAAGGCCATATGTGGACAAGAGAGAAAGCATTCTCTGTGAGCCTTCAGAAGAAATCAATTGCGCTGGCACCTTGTTCTTGGACTTCCAGTCTCCCAGACTGTGGAAAAGTGAATTTCTGGTGTTTAAGCCATGCAGTCTGTCATTCTGTCATGGCAGCCCGAGAAAACTAATATAGTTATGTTAATAACTAATAAGTAATGTGGCATAACTTCTATTATATATGTGATTGGTTGAAGGAGTTACTAGTCCTTGCAGATCTTAGGAAATGGTTCTTAATGAGAAGATCACCATGTAACTTGCATTCATGTTTTAAAGTGATCACATATTATTATTAGCTTTATGTTAGTATTAAAAATCTGTCCTTTCTTGCTTATATTTAGACTCATGTTATTACCTTTGTGAGAACTTTGCCTATAATAATCTGTGATCATTTGTTAATAAAACCCATGGTGATAAGTTTGTGATAAGAATTACCTTGTGATAACATTGCACTGACAGACTCTGAGCTCTGTGTTTATGTTTTATTCTTTTTTTGGTAACTGGAGATACATTGACGTATGACATTATGTAAGTTTAAGGTGTGTAATGTGTTGATTTGAAACATTTCTATATGGCAATATGATTACCACCTTAGTGTTAGATAATACCTCTGTCACATCACCTAAATTATCTTTTGTGTGTGTGTGTGTGTGTGTGAGGGTTTCTAAGATGCAATTTTGTCATAACCATCAAATTGTCCATGTATTTGTTATTGCAATAGAATTACACATACCCTTCTTCTACCTAGCAGAAGCAGTTACGCACATAGAAAAAAGGAAACCTGCTGTTAAGTTAACATTATTTGAAATCTCTACTATCAATCCCTTTATGCCTTGACTCAATGCTCTCAGTTTATTGGTTTTTCTTTTTAAGCAACTTGTATTCAAGAAGAAATACATTCTCAATTTATTTGCTAAAACTTTTGAAATTAGGGTGATCATTCAGTACCACTAACATCAGTTTTATATTTTAGAAAAAAATATTCCTGGGTGCTTTCAAATGAATGGTAGGTAAATTCAAGAGATTGGATTTCACGATAAATGAGGAAGACGCTTCGGTTTGTCTTCAAGGTTTCTTTGCATATACTAGTTTCTTTTCCTGGATAATGTTTTCTTCTTATACTTAATTTTTAAATGATAAGTAACCTGTTTCTCTGTTTATATTTTCCCATTAGTGCTATCTTTAATGGCCTGGTATGTAAGGTAACTTAGTAGAGCATTTACAATGAAGTTCAATGAACACTATAGATTATTAAAATATCTTTTCTATTAGGAGCCAATATACAGACAGCTCCTACTATAATCTTTTCAGTCTCTAAGAGATTTACTAGAGAAATTACACCCAAATGATGTACTCTCTAACATATTACAAAGTTAATACTAAGATCCTGGTTTATGTTCATTGCTGAAATTCATTGCAGACATGTCCAAACAGGCTGACTACCAATAAGAATTTGTTCTTTATTACTGTCTATCACATTAAACTATGTGGGATAATTAAGTGAAGTTTATCTACTTCTAAATATCACCAACCTTTTTTTTCTTTTTGCCTGGTTTGGTTCTGGGCAAATTAAATATATCTGAATGAAGAATATTTTCCCTGAAGAAATAAGCATCATTGCCATAGATTGATATAGCGAAGGATTGGAGAGTGAAGAATGTTCATTAAAAATGAAACACTCTGTGAATTAAGTGGAAGAAAAAGTATTATATTTTGAACAGGAGGAAAATAGCACTGTTTTTCTACATCAGACAGACACTCAGTCAAAATGCTATTGCATATCTGGCTAAGTTTGGGGCTATTACCTAAATGGAAAGAAAATGTATTTGTAAAAGATGTTTTGTACACAAAAACCTGCATTTATATATTATGTACATAACATTTACTACTTAGCTTCTATGGAAACAGATGCTATACAAATGTATAATTCGGTAATTGTTCATGGGATAGGTGAATTGAGAATTTTTATGTCCATGACTGGAGTTTTTAAATATAATAAAAACAAACATCTTCCATTTTTCCTTCCCAAAGTGTTATTCATTATCCTCTGTTGTTCCCCCTTAGCTATAATTGCAATTGAGCACTGATATTTTTGGCCCAAATTTTGGTCTAAACAAGGTTGGTCAACGTCCTCACAAAAGGCACATAAAGTGAAATTGTCTGAGTCAAATGTTCTCTCTTTATTAACATGGTCTACTTGTTCTGTCGCATTTTGTTTCTGCTCCTCATATTTTGAAAATGTCACCTTGGGGGACAAGCAGAAGAACCGTTTCTGTGGGAGAAATGAGTGATGGTCACAGGAGACTCTTATTTGGCTTTCCGTAGGCAATGATATGCCAAGTCAAATGAATTAAACATGAGCTAACTACTAGGAACAGAGGATGGAAGAAAGGCCATGAACAGTTTCCATGCACTAAGAAAGAGTGGACACTGGAGAATAGTCCCAGTCCTGGAAAGAACATGGAAGCCAGAATAAAGGGAGACGTAAGTATCATGGTGCTTATCATGGAGGATGGTGCTTATCACGGAGGCTGACTTTATAAGATGCTAAGGACAGAGATAAGCTTTGCAACCTCAAAAGAAATCACTTTTCTTAGATCTGTGGGAATTATTTTATAGCAGCAGTACTGTTGACATGCATGCCCTCCTGTCTGCTGCTTTGCCTAAAGTTCTCACTTTGCTCTTTTAATCTCTTCCTGATTTTCCGCCTTTGCCATTGTGAGTTCAAGACTTGCTGGTTCTTTATGTTTCACTTCCATGTACAGGTTTATTGCCTGCTTCAATCTCTTGTACCAGTTTGCTGTTTGTTTGTTTGTTTGTTTTTTATCCCCCAGCTCATGATGCCTGATCTTTTTTCAGATGGGTTCATGCCTTTCCTACAATTTGAACTTATGCTCAACATGAGCATTATGGAAAATGTGCTAAATCATTGCTTGCACCAGGCAGGCACACACAGAAAGATTCCTGCATAGTTCACTGAAATAATTTCCTGTGTAGCCTACTCTATGTTCTGCTGTAGCTTATCTTCAGTTTGGAGTTTCCAAGGTAACAGTTTCCCTGCACACTTGAGTATGGTCATATAGCTTTCAGTCTCCTTTGGAGTCAGCAAGATATTGGGCCCAACCTATAATCATCTCTTTTTTTTTTTTTTTTTCTTAAAGCATCTGAGGCTGGGGTAGAAAGTTAATGCAGTAGTAGAGAGTGGCTTACAGCCAGTAGGCAAGGTGATCTGACTTTAAATTTCCAATTCCTCATTCAAACAGACTTCTAATGTGTCCACCAGAAACTTTATATATACTGTAAGGACATCTTTACTGACACTATTCTTTTCAAGTTCAAGGATTCCTTGATTCAACAATCACAGCCCCATTGTTTTCTGGTTTGGGGCCAGGGATTATGCTCCCTTGGGGTGACTGAGTTTTGGTTCATTCGGTTGTGACCTTTCCCTAGGAGTCTACCTTAATCCTGAGCATCTGCCGCCTTATTTCCAAGATGACATCTCTTATATTCTTGCCAGGTTTCTACGTAAGATTTATGGGCATTCCAGGGCAGACAAGGATGAACACAAGTATATGTCCAGATTCCACTGTTTCACATTCTCTAGTGGGTCACCATCATTGGCATTATAAACCCAATCCAAGACTATAAGGACTTGAATACTAGTTAAAAGAGAATTTGTCTCTTAAAGGGAAATCTCAGGAGAGCCAAAGTGTCCTTTTGGCAGCCAGGATTTACTGCACAGAAATTCTGAGTCCTTTTAGTTTTACCTCTTAGTGAACTAGGGGTGTATGAGGAGGATCTGAGCCCTAACAGGGTCCAGCTGTTGCCATTATTCCTTTATAAGAATTATACACCTTGCCCCTTTTCTTTCAAAAAACCAACAAAAGTTTGATTAATTTACCTAGTTTCTGCCCATTTTATGCAGTCTTAAATCCCCTTTTTGATGTTCAGTGTAGGCATGGCTCTTTGTAACCACAACTGTAGAGTGTCCAGATTTTTCAGTCTATCCTGGTCAGAGCTTAGTGTTAGCTCTTACAAATCAGAACACCAGAGACTGACCTCTGGTTGGTGAGTAGGATGCCCTCTTCAGAGAGAGTGAAGGGTAGCAAAGCTAGTGTAGTGTTCAATCTTTGATTCTGCTTCATGGTACTCAGCTTGCCACCATCTGTCCAATTTCTCCTCCATCACAGGGAAAATGTAGTTAATGATTTAGCTCCCTTTTGATCTCAGAACATTTTCACCATTGTTACTTTCACCTTTGACTTCCATAGATTTCCTTCAGATCCTCTTAATCCATTTGCAATGCATTCATCCTTTCTTTTCTAGAAGGCCACGTGTTTGTTGGTATCACATGCTCATTGCCAAGATTGCCAAAAGCTGTGAAGAGTCTAGGATTTTATCTCACTTGTAAACTAATTTATGGATGCTGTGAGACTGAGTATATTACTTTTCTTTCCTAGTGTGCACACGTGTAATTTTCATGGGTATAAAAGTCTGTATAATAGTTTGAAGACAGCATGTAGATGTCTTCAGCATATAGGTGGGAGTGACATAGTGGACTAGTTACAGCTTGACAAGGTTTGTCTTCTTGTCACTGATATTTAAGGGAAAGAGCCTTAATCTTTTAGTGTTATAATTTGTAAGTTATATAAATTGGAATAGGAATGCATGGATCTCTTTGTATGCTAAACGATACTTGTGAGGGAAGCTGAATTCCAACTAAATGACCTTAATATTGCATTTATTTATAGAAAAATAGCCTGGGTTTCATAAAGAAAATGAGAAATTAACTCTTATAATGGATAACTAATGCTACTTGTTCAGTAGTTTTCTATAAAATAAAGATTTCTGACATTTTCATAGTAATAACTTCTTAAAGTTGGCATCCTACTTAGCAAAATGATGCAATGAATTCAAATTTTTTCATGTCTCTCTATGAAAAATGGAAACTTGTTTTCAGAAAGTGCCTGACTGTGTATAAAATCTTTTATTGAACAACTGATAAAAAAGGACCTGTTTTATTTGATGAACTATCTATTTGGTTTTATGCCTGTGAAACCAAAACAATTTCATCAAGGTATTAGTAAGTCGTGTTACCTCTGGTATCTGAAGATGAAAACATAATAGGTCTATCTTCAGAGAAACATTTTAGAAATCATCTATTGGGTGAACCAACTACTCACTTGAAGGCATCTTATCTAATTAAATCCTACATCAGAATTTTCCAGAGTGTGACTTTTGGGAAATAAGAGGTGTCTTTAGTGTACTGATCTTTGTTTCTTAAATGAAGAAAGTTAGAGTCAAAAGACATTTTAGTAATGAATCTTGAGGTTGAATGTAGTGCATTGAGTCGAGTTTGCCTTATGTTATTTACATTCTCACTGGAGCAAGTTTTGTTGAAATACACATGCTTATATCTTCCAAAATAAAGCATGTTAGGTCACTGAACCTTTTAAGTACTCATATAGAAGATGAGTTAACATTCCAGAACAATCACTAATGTTTAAGTTCCATTATTAAGATAAATATTTCTTTATTTTCATCTTGTGAAAATGCAGAAAATACAATATCAAAACAATTGATGCTTGGAGCCATCACTAAAGAGGTTGTTGACCTCCTAGAATTTCTGACTGCATTTCAATACCTTCTGGCAAGTCTTGTCTCAGATTTAACACATAGTATATGAATGCAGTAAATAATCATTTTACAGAAGGAAGTAGCCAGAGAAACAAAACAATATTGAAATGAGCAAAAGACCAAAAACATATTCATTCAAGAAAATAACATTAACTAAAATTTCAATTAATATGCAAAGATCTCTCCTTTCATTTAGTAGATTTTAGATGCATATCTGTGACCCACCTATTTTAGGGAGTACATCTTAGGATATTATTTTATGAGATTTTGAAGCAACATATCTCCTTCTCACATTATTTATGAAATCATGTTATGATTATCTAGTAATTATCCTTAAGGAGCTTAGTCAAAATTTATTTTGTATACAAACATATTCTCTAGAGAATTACTATTAATTTTAAAATACGATATTGTTCCTATCTTTCAGAAATAATAAATCTAAGTTTGACCTTCTGAAGCAAAGACTGTTGAAAGCACATTTTGGCTAAGTATGTTCATATATTCAGTCAACAACATGACGTATACCAAGCGGCCACTGACCAAGTATTCTTGAGACATGTTTTGGAGAAGAAGAAATGATTCCTTAGGGTGGCTGGTTCTCTTTGTAGGGGGATGCCAGGAAGGATACTGGACTTGAAGACAAAGGAACCTGTAAACTATGGAAAACGTGCACTTGTTCAACTCCAAATATGAAGTTACCTCTCGCAAACTGGAAAACGGACTCATTTGTTGTATAAAGCTGCATTCCTCAGAATTTATGTATTATTTTTAGCATTTTATACATTTTTAATCACAAAAAAAGACCTTGTTTAAGAAACCTTAAGGCAGTATCAGAAACATATGTTCATTCTACATGGTTCGAAATGCTTCCTGTTAACCTACAGGGGAAAAAAAAAACCCAGTCCTGTTCTATTAGGTGCTTAGTAAGCAAAGGTGCTGTTGCATGCGAAGGGCCTATGAAAAGAAATGTGTAGTTAATAGATATAATCCTTATTTTCATAGATAAACAATTTCACACTCAATAAAAGTAATGGGTGTGTGTTTTGCACTTTCTTTGCAGATTGAGAATGTGAAGTGCCATTACAGGTTCTGGGATGGTAACAATTGCTGAAATGAAAGCAATCAAATGTGCAGGTCAATAGCCATTACTTTATAATTAAACACTTGTTTTTTTATTAGCAGTTTACAACACATTTTGCTAGTATATTATATTTTGCTAGTGGATTACATAGAACACTTCTATTATTCTTCTGTTCATTAGCATCAAGCTGCTAATACATAGTGAATGTCCAGGTAATATTTGTGTTCCAATTTAGTCCACACCAGTTTCTGCAATGATATTTCAGCAGAATGAGTCACACAGAAAAGATAAACTTGATATTGGAATTTCATTTGAAATGAAGACTTGAACTTTAACCTAAACTGTGATTGACATAGTGATTTAACATGGTTATTATCTAGTTATCAAAATAATCCATAAAATAGCTAATTCAGTGCTCCTTCGTTCACCACATATTTATGGAAGACTTATTTTACGTCAGAAACCATCCCAGACACTGGCCATGTAGTAGGGACCAAACCAGGTAGAAATTCCTCCTCTCAGAAGAGTCAAGAGCAGGCTACTGAATGAAGAAAGTTTAACCAAGAACCAAAGGAGGTGAATCTTGGAGTCACATGGCTCTGTGAAAAGAAAGTTTTCATGTACAGGGAAAAGCAATCCCAAAGCTGTGAAGCAGAAATGTGCAAGCATGGAATCAGTGTGGCTTCTATAAAAGTGAAAAAGAGCAACATTATTAGGGAGTGTAATTTAAAAAGAAGTAACAAGAGTCAGATCATATAAAGTCTTGTGTAAAACCATAACGTTTTGTTTGTTTTTTATTACAGTTGGCCAGGAAACCATTGGATGGTTTTAAGAGACAAGGAATGCCTTTCACCTTAACTGAATAATTCTTGCTGTTGGGATAAACTTGACATTGGAATTTCATTTGAAATGAAGACTTGAACTTTAACCTAAATCGTGATTGACATAATAATTTAACATGGTTATCATTTAGTTATCAAAAGAACCCATAAAATGAATGAAGGACAAGGACAGAACAGAAAGACGATTAGGTAACTGATATCATGGTAGTAGTAGCCTAGAATAGGGTGGCAGAGCAGGAAGTGGTCACATATATGGGCACACTTTCAAAATATGTTAAAGGTAGTGGCAATGGGATTTGCTGAAATAAGAGTTAAAAGGAAGAGACAAGGAAGCTAACATTTTGTTTCACTTTAATTTTCAGCTTTTTAAAGAAATGTATTCAAAGCTCTTGGGAGTTGCGCCTATGTCACATTCTTACAACGTATCTTTGGCCTGTGCCATGCTGAGTCTTAAAAGGGCTTAAAAGTCTATTATCTTTTCCATGGTCAAGTTTCTGTTTATACTCTTTAAGCATGTCTTCTCAGAGTTCTGTGGTTGAGAATCCATCTGTATTCCCCTTTCTCCAAGGAAAATTTTAACTCGCATAGACCACTTAGTAATGAACACAACTTTCCCTTTATCTACCATTATCTACCTTTACCTCTTTATCTATCTGTATCTAAACACTTTCATACTGACAAAATGATAAGTACTATCTCTAACTTACACTTAAAGATTTATCACTCATTTAATTCTTACAGCAACACTTTAAGGTAAGCACAGTAAAGATTTTTAATTTATAGATGATAAAACAGGAACAGAAGACTTTGAGTGACTCATCAAAGTCACTCAGCCAGAACTCAAATGCTTTGGAAAAAGTTCATGCTGTTAACTTACTCCATAAAATCTGTGTTCTTTCATATCTATTCAAATTATTTAGGAAAGTTCCTGGGCATCCCATACACTTCAAAATATGATGACAAATAAGGTTAACATAAGAAATTTAGCATGCAGATGCATTTTTGAAGTTAAAAAGACATTTTGGAAGTAGAATTACCTATAATTTCAGGTTCTTATCCTTCATACCTTGATTCATTAATGTGAAAATGAATGCTTTTTGGCATTGTATATACTAAATTAACAATTGTAAACCCCCACTGGGATAGATAATTCTGTTATCAGTTCAATGATCATATAGTTTATTGTCAAACTGGGACAATTTTGAGAGTGAAAGGGGATGTTATTGATAATCATGCCAGGCTGATAGGCATAAATGAGGATTATCCTGGGCCAACTGGACTATTCAGTCACGTTAGTTATATACACATATATATCCCTATATAATATGTCTGTCTCTATGTATCTATATCTATCTATATCTATGTTTATATACAACAAAATATTCTTATTCCTTTAAAAAAACCAATTGATTCTCTAAAACAATTTATTTAGATTTTCTAGTACTTTACAATACATTTTGGGAAATGAAGTTTTACACTTTTCAGTGGTAAAAAGCTGTTACTCTAGTAAATTAATGCCCATAATTATAAATTTGTTTCTGATTGTCTTGTCAGATATCTTACTATGGTATGTTCATTATTCGATCATTAGGTCAAGAATATAAATGAACCTCCATGGGAAACACCATACTATGAGATGAGAACATGATCTCCAGCTTTGAAAATTATGGTTTCAAGATTCCCTTTATGCTTGTTTTCTAAAATTGTTTCAGCTTTGCCCAATGTTTAAATTAAAATAAGATACTATTAGCATAGTTCCATGGCTGTGGCTGTGGGTAAAATAGTGTAATTATGTAAACAGATGTGCTTTTTCTTTTCTTAGCAGTATAATCCCTAAACTCCGCCAGACACTTTCCCTTTCCTTGCCATTCTTTATGACTAGAATGTTCTAGAATATGTACCTAGTTCTGATCATGTTATTCCCTTGCTTTAATGGATATCCACTATCTGCAATCCAGTGTGACTTCTTACCCCGTTTTGAGGGTATTAATCTCCTCATTTTCACTGATTCTAAGATAGAACCCTCCTCCCATTTTAGGATCAGTGAAGCAGAGAAGATACAATCAGTTGGTCTGGTAGTGGTCTCAGTTGTGGTTATACACTATTTCTTGACCACTACTGCTGAATTTGGTGATAACTGCTCCTCTTGTCAGCATTTATATTATCTAAACAGAAACAGAATACGTTTTCAAATAATATAACATTTCTAGGTGATAGGAAGTTATTGTGTCCCATTTTATTTGAAAGTATATTTTTGTTTAACAATTGTGTGTAAATCAATGATACATCTTATAATAATATATCTTAAGAGAGAAGGTGGGTGGAATAATAGGTGAAATAGATGAAAGGAATTAAGAATACATTTATTGGGAGAACACTGAGTAATGTACAGAATTTTTGAATTATTATATTGTGTACCTGAAGCTAATTTAACACTCTATGTTCGTTATAGTTGAATAAAAAAATGCATATAAGTCAATAATGCATCTTATAATCAATATATCTTAAATTTGATGGAATATCAAAGCTTGAAGAATTTAATCCAAAATTCTTTTAGTCATATACCTCATGCCCTTGAAATACCATCCTACCTTACAAATAACACCAGTGACCATATCGTATCAGGTATTTTCTGGTATGATATACCGGGAAGAACACAGCATCATTTCTGTGGTGTAGATTAAATAAAGCCAAGTTGGTGGGAATTCTATGCAATAATTAACCAATAAGATTCACTAATTTCAAAGTCATAAAAGACAGATTGAAGAAAATATAGAGACATGACAGTGAAATGCAATGGATGATCCTGTACTGGAATTTGGGCCCCAAAATAAATGATTGGTAAAATCTGAATAAAATCTCTGAATTGGTTAACTTTGTCACAGCACTGTTAATTTGCTCTTTTTGGGAATCACACTTTGGTTTTACAAGGCACTGCCATAGCAGGAAGTTGGATATGTAAATAAACTCTACTATTTTTACATTTTTTTGTAGGTATGAAAGCATTTAAAGGTAAAAAATATGGAAAGTAAAGTAAATTTCATTTCAAAAGAAATAGAAGTTAAACTTTGGAACGAGATAAATGTGAATCAACAGAGTCTGATTTTGTTGACTGAATTAGGAAAGCAGAGATTGTAGAATGAATGAACGTAAGAAAAGTGGCTAATTGAAGAAACAACATTGCACGGCCATTCCTTACAATATTGCTACTGGTGAGCAGTGACTACATATCAGCTACTGATCTTGTTCTTGGGACGGGGCCGAGAATAATCTGAATCAATGAAAGGCATGCCTTTAATTTGTGTATTTACGTAAGTTATTGCACATTTTTATTAATATAAAAAATGAATACTTACCTGAAAGTAATCAATCTTTTCAGTTTAATCTTATTTAAAGAGGAATTACGAAGACTAGCTTCTAAGAGGGAACATTGTCAAGGGATAGTGACTTAAGTAAGAGCATTTACACATATGGTTAACAGCATTTATTAGGATTTATGACAAGCCTGACCTTGTGATAGATGACCACACTATGTATAATACAGAGACACAGAACCTATTTTTCATGGTGTATCAAGAACATAAACAAACCTGCTCAATAGACGTGCCAATTAAGTGTAGAAGGAGCACAAAAAAGTAATTCCAAAGCCAAGGGATATTAATCGTGGAGATATTTTTTGGAGGATAGAGAATTCTAGATTCACACTCAGATTACTTTGAATTACCTCAAAGTATTTTTCCTTATCACCTGACTTCCATTGTTGCCTACAAAATGTTAACTCTAAACCCCAATAT